TGATGATAAATGGAATGCACGAGCAATTACTGATGGATTAACTCCTTTATTTAAAAGGATGTTTGCTGCAGATAACATAGCACCAGCTAGAATAGTTACGGTAGTTGTTCCATCTCCTGCTTCAATGTCTTGTGATTTAGATAATTCTGACATCATTAATGCACATGGGTGTTGAAGTTTTAATTGTTGAATAATAGTTGCTCCATCATTAGTAATGATTGTTTCTCCATTAGGTGAAATAATCATTTTATCCATTCCTCTTGGTCCGAGTGATGTACGAACTGCATCAGCTACACTTTTAGCAGCAATGATATTAGTTTGTCTAATATTTTTTTCTCCTTCTTTTCCTTCTTTCATTTCACCTTTTTGGTGTTGTTTAGGTGCAGTTGTAGTACTCATTTTAATTCAGATTAATTTGGTATGTTAAGTTGTTGTATTTTTTAGTTTTTTTCTTTTCTTCACCTTCAACAAATTTAATTATAGTTTTTTATTATTTTTTTATAATTAAATTATAGTTAAAAATAATTAACAAAAATAATAAAAAAAAGTGTTGAAAAACTAAAATAAAAAATGCAATTATTGTTATTCTAAAATAATGTTTTTGTTTTTTTGATATTTATTTGAAATTCTCTGAATAATCAATTCTTTTAATATTCTTTCACATTAAATAACAATAATTAAGAAATGAAGAATTAATTTACTAATAATTGATCACATAAAGAATTGACTTGTTCTAATGAAATTGAGTTATGTGGATTATTGGAAATGTAAGAAGTGTTATTAATTTTTTTATTAAGAGAATCCATTCTTTTTTTAACTTCATCAAATAAGTCATTAACACTAATTGAGTTTGGTTTTATTTCTGATACTCCTTCCATACCATTAAGTGCTTTAGTTAAACAAGTAACACTTTCCAAAAAATAACCAGTGACATATTCTTCTTTAGCTTGTTCTTCATTTTTAATTCCCTCTACTATTTGAGAGATAGTAATATCATGAAATTTTGGCATAACGAATGAAACTCCTTGTTGTTTTTCTATTGCTGAAGTATTAATCTCAATAGTAACTGGTTTAACTGTTTGTCTAAATATTTCTTTTGAACGTTCTAATATTTCTTTACATTGATTAAGTATTAATTCAGATGGTTCAATACATAACTGAACTGCAATTTGATCAATACAATCTGCAACATCATTACAGAGTTGACCACCACGTTCTCTCATTACTAAACCAATTCCATTAACAATTTGAGCTGCTATAAATTTACTTCCTTTAATAAATTTTTCTTGATTTGATTCAAGAACTTTATTAATATTTCTTGCAATACAATCACAATTATCACAAAGTGTTTCTGAAGCATCTAATAAAATAATTCTCATAATGTTAAATGTTTGTATTAAAACTTCTTTTATACCATCACATACATTGCTATACGACATTAAACTCATTTTATTTGAGAAATTTTGAGTAATGTCTTTTAGTTGTTCTAATGGGTTTTGTACCATATCTTTTATATTTTCATGAACTAAATTACTACACTCTCCTTCTACAATAGCATATAATTTAATAATTGGATCATATAAACATTTTACTTCTTCTGTGATTAACTCAATTAATTGTTTCTGTTTCTCTGGTTCCATCTTTTTTGAATGGTTTTCAATTATGTTCAATGTACGTAGACATATAGTTCCATATTCACAAATATGAACTAAAATATCTTGAAAAGATCTGTGATGATCATTTCCTAAATCTAAATGAAATCCTTCTATATTAATAACACTTTGTATGTTGTCGTAATTCATTTCTTTCTTTAAAGTTCTTTTTCATTTTAAGTTTTTTTTAGTTCTAAATATTATTTTTCCATTCAACAAAAATTCAAGTTTTGTCTTTCAATTTGTTTTTTTTTTACTTTTATAAAACACAAATAATATTATTAAATGTTATAAATAACGTTTATATTAAAAATTTCAAAAACAAAACTAAAAAATGATACAATGAAACGCATAAATGAACTAATACTTAGGACTGTTTGACTATTGTCACTTTACTCAGTAGAGATAATTCACTCATATGAATTAGGAAAACATTCAATTTGAAGGGGATGTTTTTGAACGACTAATAATACAGAGAAATATTCCAAGAGAATTTTATGATAGTGTGAGTTATGATGAGTATATTCATACAAAAAATAGTGAAGAAGCTCCAACACAAAAACGACCAAAAGAAAGTCAAAAGAATAAGAAATATTGTAAACAATATGTAAATAAAAAAGAAATAATAAATGAACAAGAAGATATAAGTCTTTTTAATGAATTAAACAATGATGAGAGTAGTAAAAGTAGATTAAGAGATGTTAGGAAAAGAAATAAACTTAATGAAGAAAGAAGAAAAGACATAGAGAAGATAACTCAAAATAATTATATTATTCAAAGCTTTGAAGATCAAGTTGAGAAAAAAGAAAATGATAATAATAGTAGTAATAATAATGAAAATGATAGTTCTACTGAATTAGAATATTTTAAGTGCATTGATTCTTCTAAAGAAAAAAAGCCAAGAAAAAAAACACCTAAAAAGAAAAATGTTAGAGAAGTTATTAAGTCTTTACAAAATAAAAAAACTAAACGAAGTTATAAAGAACAAATTAAATATTTTGAAGAAATTGAAAAACGAGTAAACCAACAATCATTAACAAAAGTTTATCCTCATTTTCAAAAGAAAGAAACATCTTTTATTCAAATAGTCAGTGATCAAAATGACAATAATAATGTTAATGATACTCATGAAATTATTGACTTAAATGCTGATGATGGTATAGATTTAGAAAATAATGAAATTGTTATAAATCCTGTCATTCCTGAAATGTCATTACTTGGTATAAATGAAATGAAAGAAAATCAAAAGAACTACAGAGATAATGATAATAATGAACAACATTATATTAATATTGATTATATTAGTCATGTACCAGCTTATAAACATGCTAGAAGTAGAAGTAATAGTAGAGAAAAAACTAAAAGAAGTTATAGTAAAGAAGGGTATGAAAATTATGAAAGAAGAAATGACAAAGAATGTTCAAAGATTTTATTAGCAGATAAAGAAATGTGGGAAGAATTTAAAGAATTTTTAAAATTTAAACAAATGTTACAACAAGAAGAGAATAATAAACAAGAAATTTTTGAAAAAGAATTAACTGAAAGTTATAGAAATAATTATTATGATGATAAATGTCAAACTAAAGATGGTTCTTTATATGATCCAAGTTCTTGTAAACAATATTCATTATCAGAACAATCAAGAAAACCAATAATAACAAATGAAGATATTAATTCAATTAAAGTTATTGAACGAAGAAAAAGAAGAAGAATGAAATATTATTGGTAATTTTCATTGAAAAATACTAAGAAGAAATAATGATGTTATAATGAAATCATTTGTTTGTATTTATTAAAATAATAAATCCAAGATCAACTTTATTTAAAAGTTTTTATTACTTGACTTAAATTAATTTATAAGTATTTTCTATTTATTTAATTTTTGGTTTAAAGAATATGATTAAATAAATTAACCAAAAGAGTGTTAATAATATTCATTTATATATTCTCTTATTTATCCGTTTTTTTTATAATCTTATAATACTTGATATATTTCCAATAATCTACTCACCACTTATAATTCAAAATAACTCTTCCTTTAAAAATATTCTTATTTATTTTATTTATATTCTTATACCTATTCTCAAACATAACCATTTATTATTCTTTCTTAATGTTAATTAACCTATAACTTTTTATTATTCTTTTGTTGTATAAACTGTTTAATTTTTTTAAATCGTTCATTCGTCATTAACACAAATATTCTCAAATAAACATAATTTATAAAACAATTAATTACTTAAGTTGACTGAGTTAAAATAGTCCATTACCTTATTTTTTATGATTATATTTTGTATTTATAAAATAAATGACTTTATTATTTCTATATAATACCTTTGTTTAATTCTTAAATTTATTCTTTCTTTTTAATGTTTTTGATATTTTCATTATTTACTTATTTTTATTATGGTAAGATATATCGTAACATTATTATAGTCATAATTATTTTTAAATAAATTTATCTATTTTCTATTTTTTATTTTTTTTTCTTAACACCTCCCCACTATAAAATACAACAAAAATATTACCACGTAGTTGTTATATTTTCTTTGATTTTTTTTTCACTAAATCTTCTTTTCTTTTAAATTCATTAAAAAAACTCTCATTGAAATTAAGTTATATAGTGTTTTATTCAATATCTTTTGCTTTTTTAATAAAAAATATCATCGTGGTTTATACATCATTTTATTAGAGTAATACATCATTAACTTATTAATACTATTTTAAGTAATAATAGTTTCAAATAACAAAATATGACTTGTAATTTCGTTATTATTAAACAAACAATAATTTATTAATTCCTTTCAAAACAAAATGAAGTGATTTCATTAAAAAAACATGTTCTATGCTCTAGTTGATTATGTAAAATTGATTGTACTTATCAACAATCAATATTACTTGAAAATTTAAATATTTTTTTTTTTTGGTAATAAATTTCATTTTTTCTGAACAAGTTAATCCTCAACCAGATTATATAAATTATTTCCTTATCTCTTTTGATTTTTTTCCAAGTTTTACTTTTTATTTAATAAAAAAAAGAACTACAAATTAGAGAGAACTTTAATTATTTATTAGGTCGAACATGGAACATAAAAGCAAATCAAAACAAAGAAAATGTGTTCTTGATGGGGTTGATATTGAAAAGGTTAGAAAACTTTCTCGAGATAGATCACTTGTTATTTTAAAAATCAGAAATTTTGGAACATTAAACATAGGAAATCCTCAGTTTATGTCAAAAGATGATGAGGAATCAGAAAATGAAGGAATGATAGAAATACCAGTTAAAAAAGAAACCCATTTACCAGAAAAACATCATCATCACCACCATTCAAAAAAGAAAATAAAAAGTAAAGAAGAACCTCAAATTCAAGAAACTACTCAAAAGACTTATAAACAAGAAACAGAAATTGTTAATAAAAAGAATAAGCAAGATAACATTTATCCAGAAGATAATGAAACTAGTTTAGAAGAAAGAATAAACGACGCAAAAAGAGTGATGGCTGAAGCACGCAAAAAGGCAAAAGAAAGAGGTCAACCTACAAAACAACAAAAACCTATTGAAGTTAAAATTCCTGAACCACTACCTAATGATAATATAAGTTATGGTCCTAAAAGAAGTAAAGGATTTAAAATTGAAGAAATTGATGATAATAATCATGTTATTGGAGAGATTACTCCTATGAATGATCAAAATGAAAAAGGTGTTCCAAAGAATTTTGCTAATGCAACAAATGACCCACAGATTGATCAAGAATTAGCAATTGGGTATCTTTTAGTCAATAATGGAAAATTACAAGAAGCAATTAATTATTTAACAAAATTTCTTCAAAAACACCCAGATGTATGTGGAGGGTATATTGCACGTGGAACTGCTTATGCTATGATTGGTCAATACCAAATGGCAGTTGAAGACTTTGGTAGTGCTGTTATAATAGATCCAAGAAATGCTGATGCACATAAGCGAAGAGGACAAACATTAATTGCCTTAGGTAAGATTGATGAAGCTCTTGTAGATATGAATGATGCTGTAAAATATGGAGGAGAAAAAGATGTTGACTGTTATAAACAACGAGGTATTTGTTACCAAATGATACGTAATTATGAATTAGCTCGTGATGACTTTGGTGTCTGTGTCAAACGTTCTCAGGGAGATTACATTGCATGGAATCATTATGGATTAAATAATACAGCATTGGGATTATTCAAAGAAGCAGCTGAAGCGTTTGGTCGTGCTGTTTCAATTAAACAAGATTTTGTTGATGGATATGTTAATCTATTCCAATTATTGAAAGACGCAGGAAAACCAAAGAAAGCAGAAGAAGTATTTAAAATCATATTTAGACTTGCTCCAAATCATTGTTTTGCACACTACTTAAGAGGGGTATTATTCCAACAAATTGGACATCATATTAAAGCAACAAAAGAATTTGCAATTGCCATTTCAAATGTTAACAATCAACAATATGGATTAGAAAAAGAAATTGATAAACAAGTTGATTTATATCGTTATAATGGTGTGACATTATCTGCGTCTGGACAATTTAAAGAAGCTATTCGTTCATTTGATCAAGCAGTTGATATTAAAAGTGATGATAGTGCTTGGTATATGAAAGAAGTAGCATTATATACACACCATTTATTAGACCACAACTTTACAGAATGGAATATTGATTCATTTGATCCCTTATTTAAAGAAGGATTTTGTAAACACCTTATTCCTGCTGCCTTACATAGATATGAAGAACAAGCTTCATATGATGACACTATTCCAGATGTTAGTGAAACAGATTTACCAAGCCAAAGTGTTATTGACCAAATTTTAATTCCTGCAATGAACATCGGTAAGTATATGCAGTATGACTCACAAGGATTTGTACATAATGCTTCACAATATCTCATGGGAGGATTGGCAGCAATTAATATTGGACAGTACATTAGAGAAACTATTCCTGAATGGATTAAGGGTGGGTTAGATGAAGAAAGTGCTAGAAAATTGCTTGACAAAATACAATGGAGAACTTTAATGGAATTATCTACAAAATGGAGACAAATATCTGAACCAAATGATCCTGTCTATTGGATTGATTTATTAACACCTGAACAATTTGAAGAAGGATTTGGATCACATACACCAATGTACACTGGACAAGGAAGAGTAATTAGGTATTTCTGTCAATATGACCGAGCATTTAAAATAGTTCAAGAACTACTTCCTAAACAAGTCCAATTAAAACCAGAATGGGTTAAAGTGGTTAAAGAAGCAAAAAATATAGGAGATATTCTTAGAGTTGTTGAGTCTAATTTCCAAGTTACTACCCCATGTAGATCTGATAATTTTGATGATCCCAAAACAGGAGAAAGAATTATCTATGAAGGAACCAATCTAGTTACTGAAATGAAAGAACCAGTAGGATATGATTTTGCCATTAAAACACCATGCAAAAAATCAAGATGGATATTATATGATAAAGAACTTGAAGCATGTTGGAAGAAGTTAGCATTATTAATACTCACAAGAAAAGGAGAAAAAAGTGAAGAAGAGAAAATTTTACGAGCTATGTTTTCTTTCACATTTTTCTGGTATAATTTCATGCCACTAACTCGTGGAACTGCAGCAGGAGGATTTGTGTTTATGATGTCTGTATTAGCCTCAATAGGTAAGCAAATTGGTAAACATATTCCACAAGGAATGCAAACTGATTGGGAAGCTATTTTATGTGAATATCCACATAAATTTAGTGATGTGATGTATAATTGGATGAAAGATTCAATAATACCATTTAATATTGAATCTGTTCCAAAGATAGAAGAACAAATACCAACTGTTAGAAAAGTAGTTGAATGTTTTAATTATTGCCCACAAATAAAATGCGAATAACTTGACTGAATTTTTTCAAAACAATTAAAAGAATAGGTTATACAAAACAATAAAAAAATTGAAAGGGAGATATAAAACTATTTTAAATATTTAGAAATTAAAAAAGTTGTTTTTCAAAATAGAGAGGGAAAAAACTCAGAAAAAGCGGGAAAGAAACAAAACAAAAAGGGGAATAAAAATTGGAAATCCATTCAAAGATTAAATAAGGATAAAAATTACTATAAAAACATCTCAGTAAAAATTAACTAAAATTTATAAGAATACTATTTTCATGACTGACGTAAATATATGTTTATTTGGTCTTTCACAAAGTGGGAAAACAACATTCTCTAATATTGTAAGAGGAGGTGAATTTCAGGAAGATTTTGTAGAAACACAATCAAGAACTCAAGATAGATTTACGTTTACTATTGACACAATTAGCTTCAACGGAAGTATTTATGATGAACCTGGAAATAACTTTAAAGATTTAAAAGCCACTGTCTCTACTTATGCCACTTCTGGGCTTATTCATATTTTTATTGGATCTGAAACAAATCCTACTGACTGTAAATTTATTGAACATTATATTGAACAACCACAATATAAAGACTGTGTAAATGATGATAATCTTATATGTGTTATCATGACTAAAAAAGATCTTGTTCAAGACTTTGATACAACGTCAGTTAAAGCAGCTGCAGATAGTTATAAAGGATTGTTTTATGAATTAGATTTGCATGATATAGAAATGGTTAAAAAAGTTTTTGGAGAGATTTTAAGTAAATACGCAGAAATGAAAGGAATAAAACCACAGTCTAAACAAGAATCTTCTAAGAAAAATGGAAAAAAAGATACTTCGAAAAAAGAGAAGAAAGGAGTTTGCATTTTGTTCTAAATCTAATTGGAATTTTGTTTTCTTTATTATTTAATTTAATTGGTTATTTATTATTATTAATCTAACATCATTTTAAGTAATATATTTTTTTAAATTTATGTTTTTTGATATAATTATAGTAAAGAAAAATGGCTCAGACAAGGCTGAAAATGTCTTCATTAATAATCTGAAAACTTTCTATCATCATTACCAATTATTAAGAATTAATAATAAACAAATCTTACCTATAAAGAAGTATTTATAAAATTATGGCAAAATATTATTAAAATAAACCCTAGAATAAAAAAATATAAAAAATATCATTTAGTATTTATAACATTCAATGAAACACATGTTTAGATTCAACAAATTTTCTTACTTTACATGCACGTTCTAATACAGAATCAGCTGTGTTTTTGATATTCATTAAATGATGTAAACAAGTGTTAGAATCTGATTTTAATAAGAATTCACGATGTAACTCAATAATAGAGATAGTAATACAAATAATATCAATAAAAATTTGTTGTGAATCAAATCCACTAAGTAATACATCCCATATTTTAATAACATCTTTAATAGAAAAGTCATCAATAAATAACATACTTACCCATCTAAAACTATAGCATGTTACATCTACATTTAATTTATTTAAATATTTCCATAGTTCAAAATCATACATTTTTAATACACTATCAATATTCTTAAAACATTCTTTTAATCCAGTTGGTTTATTGTCACACGCTTTATCAAACCAATCTCTAAATCTAACAACTAATGTAGTGAATCCAAAATATGCTTCTGCTTCAACCACTTCACGTGATTGACCTGATTGACTAAATACATAAAAAATAAGACCACACATCTCGTGCATTCCTTGAACGTATTTAATTGATTTATTAAAAATGCAATTTACAAAAAGTATTCTTTGAACTGATTCAAGATTTTCTTCCTATTAATTAAGTACTTTATTTTTATACTCTAAAATAAATAACAAACATCTTTGAAGAATGTGCTATCTGGAAATATACGTGAAATATCTTTTTGTAATACTATTAAAGTTTCGGTTTTTGGAAAATTGATATTATAATAAAAGTCATTGAGAAATTGGGAATATTGTAAAGTGTACATTCTTTCTTTATCTATCCATAATGCTGTATTTTCTGGAAGAAATCCAAAAAATACTTTCCATATTTTACTTCTAAAAATAGTTATTTGAAGAACATCTTCAGGAATTCCTTTTTTTCTAATAAGTGTTTTTATACTTTCTACATCTAATACAACTTGGTTAAATGCATGTTCCATTTTTCTTCTTGAAAAAGAAAAGGTACGTTTGGTTACTGTTTCTGACTTCACACTCATCTAATGATTTTAAAGTTGAAAGGAAAGAAGAGTATCATTAAAAAATCTGAAAAATAAAAAAAAAATTTTCCTTTCTTTTTTTTGTTTTTTACAAAAAGAAAAAAAGAACTTGAAAAAACAAAATTTTGTTTTTTTCAAATGTCATTACCAACCCTTTCTGCTATAAACGAAGTTAAAGAAGTCACAAAATTAGAACGTATTGGTGCTCATAGTCATATTCATGGATTGGGACTTACTGGTCAATATACTGCTAGTAATAAAGCTGATGGACTTGTTGGTCAAGTTGCTGCACGTACTGCTATGGGAATTGTACTTCGTATGGTTCAATCTCGACAAATTTCTGGACGTGCAATTCTTCTTGCTGGAAAACCAGGTACAGGAAAAACTGCACTTGCAATGGGACTTGCTCAAGCATTAGGAGAAGATACACCATTTACAATAATTAGTGGTAGTGAAGTATATTCATTAGCAATGTCTAAAGCAGAAGCATTAACACAAGCTGTTAGAAGGTCTGTTGCTCTTCGGATTAAAGAAGAAACCGAAATCATTGAAGGAGAAGTTGAAGAGTTAAGAATTGAACGACCTACAGCTGGTGCACGTAAAGGTAAATTAACAATTAAAACAACTGATATGGAAACAGTATATGATTTAGGTGAAAGAATGATTGACGCTTTAGTAAAAGAAAATGTTAAGGGAGGGGATGTGATTCAAATTGATAAAGCATCAGGTTCTGTTATTGTTTTAGGAAGGTCTGCAGCAAGGTCCAAAGATTTTGAAGTTACAGATGCTAAGACAACATTTGTACCAACACCAGAAGGAGAATTACAACAAAAGAAAACTATTGTTCATACAGTTACATTACATGAAATTGATGTTATTAATTCAAAAGCACGAGGAGTATTATCTTTATTTGCAGGTGATACAGGAGAAATATCAGCTGAAATAAGAAATCGAATTGATGAAAAAGTAAAAGAATGGATACGAGTTGGTAAAGCAGAAATTCTACCTGGAGTATTATTTATTGATGAAGTACATATGTTAGATTTAGAATGTTTTTCATTCTTAAATAATGCAATTGAACAAGAAATGACACCAACAATCGTTATGGCAACAAATAGAGGAAATGTTAAAATAAGAGGAACTGAAGAAATATCTCCACATGGTATTCCTGGAGATTTCTTAGACCGACTTATCATTGTTAAAACTCAAGAATATACTTCAGATGAAATTAGAATGATTCTTGCTGTTAGGGCTGAAGAAGAACAAGTTAGAATGAATGCAACATCATTAGATGCTCTAACTGAAATTGCTAAACAAACAAGTTTGAGATATTCAATACAACTTATTTCATTAGCTATGCTCAAAGCTAAAAAAAGAGGTGCTGAAGAAGTTGACGTTGTTGATATTCAGAAAGTTTATGAATTGTTTTATGATGCATCTCGATCAGTAAAACACATTCAAAGTGATATTAGAATGGAAGAAAATTGATTGAATTTTTTTTTATTTTTATTATTTTTTATCTAAGAAAAACATTATTTAAATATATCTTTAACAAAAATAACAATCAAATCAATCAATTTTGAGATAAAATACTTTGTTTTATCTTTAAATATTCTAACTCATCTTCTTTACTTACGCTACGACGTACTTTTGATAACGCTTCAATAAAATGACTTTCTTCTACCAAACCACCATCTTTTTGTGCATTTTCATATCCAACTTTTTTTACAATTTCATCAAGAGCTCTAACAGAAGCTTCTTTAACCAAAGCAGTAAGGTCTGCACCAGAAAAACCATCTACTTGAGCAGATCGTGCTATCTTTTCTAAATTGACACTATCTGCTAATGGAACTTTTTGGCGTTTACATATAGTTTTGAGGATATCAACACGAGCATCACTATTTGGCAAATCAACTGAAATAAGTCTATCAAGTCTTCCAGGTCTTAACATTGCTGGGTCAATACAATCTGGTCTGTTTGTTGCTGCAACAACAAAAACATCTTTTCTTACATCCATACCATCTAATTCAGTTAATAATTGATTTACAATTCTTGATACTCCAGATGAATCTTCACTTCGTTTAGGTGCAAGTGCATCTAATTCATCAAAAAATATAACACAAGGAGCACTATTTCTTGCTCTCATAAATAATTGTCTGACAGCACGTTCTGCTTCACCAACATATTTATTAAGTAACTGAGGACCTTTAACAGCAATAAAATTAGCTTTACATTCATTAGCCAATGCTTTCGCACAATATGTTTTTCCACATCCTGGTGGTCCGTAAAGAAGAATACCAGCAGGGGTATCAACACCAAATTTCTTATATAATGATGGATATTGAACAGCACCTACCACAAGTCTTTTTAATTCATTATGAACTTCTTCCATACCTCCAATATTATCCCAAGTAACATCAGGAATAGTTGTAAATCCTTCTCTTTTAGAAGATGGTTGAACAACATTTAAAGCATGATCAAAATCACTTTGTGTAATACTTAACTGAGCAAGTTCGGTTTCTGTAAATGTATTAGTACTTGATTTTAAATAATCACAAACTGCTTGTCTTTCAGTTAAATCTTTTTGATTTTCTTCTTCAACATCTTGTTGAATAGATTTAAGATTATCAGCACCAGCCTTTCCACTAAAAATACGATGAATTGCTGCTATAGCAGCTTCTTTTGTTAATGCAACAATATCAGCACCAACATAACCTGCAGTTCCTTTTGCTAGTTTTTCAATATTCACAGCAGAATCAATTTTTAAGTTAACCATCATTTTATCTAATATTTGTCTTCTTTGTGACTCACTTGGAATACCCAAAGCAATTTCTCTATCAAATCTACCAGCCCTACGTAATGCTGGATCTAATGAATCAGGACGATTTGTAGCACCAATTACAATAACTGGTTTATCTGCTTCACTAAGTTTGTCTAATGAAGATAATAATTGAGCAACAATTCTTCTTTCCATTTCACGTTGTGCATTATCTCTTTTTGGTGTAATAGCATCAATTTCATCAATAAATAATAAAGCAGGTGCTCGTTGTGATGCTAATTGAAACAAGTCACGTATTTTACTTTCACTTTCACCAGACATTCCTCCAACAAGTTCTGTTGCTGACACTTCAATAAAAGCAACACCTACCTCTCCTGCAATGGCTTTTGCTAATAATGTTTTACCACATCCAGGAGGTCCATGTAATAAAATACCACGAGGAGGTTCAATTCCAAGATGTTTATAAATTTCTGGATGTAATAAAGGATATTCAACTAACTCTCTCACTTCAGTTATTATTTTATCAATTCCCCCAATTTTTTCATATCCAAAAGTTCCTTTTTTTACTTCAATTTTACTTTCAGGCAATTTAGGAGAAGGGGATATTTTTGAGGATTTAATTTTATTTGATTTTGAAGCTGTTGGATACGGAGATAAACTCATCAAATAAAAAAGTTCAATTTTTAGGGTTTAGTTTTGTTTTTAATTTTTCTTTTAAACTTAAAATTGAATCAATTAATTTTGATAATTTTCTTTTGACACATAATCTACTTCTGAATGATTACGATATGACACTATAAATAATGGAAGACAATATGAATAACTCCAATCCAATGGGTTATTTATTACATAACAAAAATTGTTATGTACTGTGTTAAACTGTTTACTTGAAATAAATGTTAAAATCATATGATTACTATTTTCTTTTAAATAATTTCCTGAGTCTTTTGCTGTAACTCCAAAATATTCTCCAATACCATAAGTTTGACCACTTCTTCTCTTAGGATCAAAACCTTCTTGACAAATCCCTTTAACACCTATCTCAGAACTTCCATGCCAAGCAAAAAATCCATCAGAGGCATGATTACAAGGAATATCCTTAAATGAATTTATAAATCTTTGAAATGACATACAATTATTCAATATCATAGAGTTAAATTGAATGATGCAATTTGATAATGCCATATCGTTTTCGTTTTTAATAAATTTTAATCCTTCAACGAATAATTCTTTTAAAAGAGGACTCATTTTCTTATAATTGGCAAATTGTTGACAGGTAAATCCTTCATGCCATTTTTCATGACAATTATAACAATAGTCATCGTTACAATGTTTACAATGTCTTTTATTTGGACCATCATATGGAGGTAATAATCCATTACATAATGGACAAGGAGAATAGTTATTTTTCTTTAAATAAGCATCATTCATTTTTTTTTCATATCTTTCTTTTAATTCACTTGAAATTATTTTATCTTTGAATAATCGATTAGCATTATCTAATTTACATTCACACTGATCACATGGACAAATAATATATTCATTACTTGAATTAATCTCTTGTTGTACATGTTTTTTAATACACTAAATTATTAAATACAACGACTTTTTTCATAATTACACTATCAAACAAACGTCATAACAAATCCTATGACAACAATCACCTACGCAATATGTATCAGAAAGATTTAAATAAGAATTACATATTGGACATAAAGCTTTTGGTTTTTGTTGACGTAAAGAACTTTTCAAATTTATTTCTCTATATGAATTAACCCATTCTACCATCTCTTTATATCTTTCTGAATCATCTTGAATATTACCAAATGATAAAATATTTACATCATAACAATGCTTTTTCATTAATTAAAGTTCATACTTTATTTTTTTTTTATTTTTATAAGGAGAATGATGTTTAACCTGTTATTTTTTGAAATATATTTTTATATACTTCTTATTTGAAAAATTGTTTTTATTAATACTTTTCCAAAATAAAAATAATAAACAATTAATTAAGTATTAATAGAACCAGCTTCTATTGTTCATGAATCATCTGAGACTAATCCCAATGAGTCTTCTTCAAACATTTATATTGAGTATATTTGGTTGTGATTGAAACAGTATTCCATGACATCCATCATGTTTTTTATTACATGGTTTTTAACTTCTTTCTCGATGTCAATTTCAATTTTTAATTCTTTAATTAATTTATTACTTTCTTTATTTATTAATCCATTTATTGAAATTACTACTGGAATTATTTTGACATCTTTTAACTTTTCTATTTTCATTAGAATATTCTTTAATTTCTTATACATATTTCTTTTCTTCAAATAGACTCAATTAATATTGTGATATTCAACAATAGTCATATCAAATAATAGACCAGTTTTGATTCTTTTTATCTAATACGTATATCTGGTATTTTGTGGTATTGTCATTCACTTTTATGCATTATTTGTTTGTTCCATATCATTGTGATGTCTTTATATTGGAACATTGTTTCATATGGAGGTTTTTTATATTGTTTATTTCTTGTGTATTTTCTTATTAATCAATATTATAATACCATTATTGTCATGTTTTTCCATTTGTGATTTTTTATGACTAATACAAGATAGTAAGATGTGTTCTACTGTAGCTATCTTGTCTTTACAAAGTGTTGAGTATTTCAATCTTTCATTTTTCATTATTTTTGATTTTCTATACCCACAAAATATTGCTCCATCATGCATTTTAGTTAATTGGAGAAATGCATTCTTTTTAATATTGATGGATTTCCATGCTTTCACTGTAGTAGTTTTATCTACTCATTTTGACTCAAATCATTTTCTAAAATATCCACTAATTTGATGACACTTCCATTTTTTGATGTATTTGTCAATAATTTATTTATTTCTACTACTACTTCTTTTTCTTTTTTCTTTTCAATCCCTTCATTTATTATTTCTTATATTTTGTTTCATTGATTTTATGAATTATTGTTTTTTTTTTAATTCTATTCCATATTCCCTTCTTACTGTACCATCTATCTATTATGTTATTTCCAATTTCACTCTGGTACAGTAGTACATCACTGTTCTTACTAATTCAATAACATATTCGTCACTTATATTTATTAATCCTTCACCCATTTCTTCTATAATGATATACAACCTATCTTTGGAGTTTCCGGCACCAATGTATTTTGCCTTTCTTAAATATTTTCTTATCTCCAAATCAATTTTATCTAGGTCTGTAATTTTCCAATTTACAACTGATGCTGAATATCTGAAGATATTGATTACTTCCGTGTTTATTCTAGTAATATATCTTCTATTACTACTTTCATCAGTGTTTATTTCTTCCATCTTCTTCATCATTTTTTCTTTGATGGTTTTACAATTGAAGGTGTCATCAATTTCGTCGGACTGCCATATTCATAAGTATTTATACAAGTCCTCACCTTCAATTATGGGGATGTTTTGCATTCTATTTGGTATTTCCTTAATGTTTTTAATACCATTCCTGACTTTTTCTCATTCATTTCAATATGTAACTTATTATTTCTTTAATTTCATTGTGGATTATTCCCATTTCTTCACCACTTTCCGTCATTATTCTCAAATCATCCATATATAATGTGTGGTTTGCTTTTGGGAATTTCTCTTCGATGATTTGAGAAATTACATTCATCTGGATGATGAAGAGTAGATTTGATAGTGAATCACCTTGTAAAATTCCTCTATTTAATTTAATCATTATGGATATTCATTAAATTTATAACCGATGAATATCTTCAATCTAGTCATCATACTTTCAATTATGTCAATGATGACAAACTCATAATTAAAATACTTTAATGATTCAATTACCCATTCGTGGTTGACAGTGTCATATGTTTTCTTAATGTCATAATATGACTCCACATATTTTGGGTATTTCTATTCTTTCTGCTGCTTCATCATATAGCTATTTATTATTCCTTCTTTAGCAGCTAAAGATTGTAATTTACATCCCAGTTGATTATTACTAACTTTAAATGATTCACAATTCATGTTAAGTCTTCTGTGAATCTTCTCTTTTAATATGGAGGTAAATACTTTCATTATTACGTTTGTACAACTGATAGGACGATAATTAGTGACGTCGTTCCTATCACCTCCTTTGTGGATTAATAAAGTTCTTCCACTTACCATGTCTAATGGGATGTTTTCGGGGAAGTTTAACCATTCATTGAAGATACTAAGAATGGCTTCTCTTGATGATGACATCCTTTTCCAATAATACCCATATATAGTGTCTATTCATTGTGCTTTCCAGTTATTTATTTTCATTATACTTAAATTTAATTCATTTAATGTTATTATGACATTATCATAATTGAAATATCTTTCATTCCACGAGGTGATTTGTTTTATTTTCAAATTTTCTTTATTTAATATCACATGTGCTTTGAGAGATTGAATGTAACACGTCTGAAACACACAACACATACCATAATACAATTCAAGAATCGACACTCCCAGTTATTATCTGATTAGGGTACGAAAATTAGCAAAGAAAAAATGCATCTAAATAATTTGCAAAAATAAGAAAAAGATGCAAAATATTTTGCATCAATAGAATTTTCCATTTATTATATTTTGCTCCTAAAGAAAAATAAAAAATATGATAAATACAGAATATGTAAATATTTATGTTTATATTTTACAATCAATTCTATTCATTTTGTATGAAATATTAATGAAATAAATGATTTGATGAATCATATTTATTTTTATTCTTTTTATTCTTTTATTTATATGTTATTTATCTATCGTATTTTTATATATTTATTTTTATATTTATTTCTCTGTTTATATTATTTATATCATTGTGTTATTCTTATTATCTATATATTATTATATTATTCTTATTTTATGTTTTTTATGTTTATATTATTTAGATTTTCTTATTGTTATTCTTTTCTATTTAGATGTATTTGTTTATTCATCTTATTCATCATTTATATTATTATCATTTATATCTATTTTCATTTTATATTTATTCTCTTTTGTTTTATATTAATATTAATTTTATCTTTTATACTTTGATTTTATTATTATATCATTGATTATCTTTTCTCGTTTTATTTATCATTTATTCTTATTATTCTTTTGTTTTATAATCTATATCATATATTCATATCATTTTCATTTATATTTTATCATTTATTATATGTTATAATAACATAACACATATGTTTGATTATATAATAAACATCATAATGAAGTTATACATATAAATAATAAACATAAAACGAGTAAAATATTTTTCAATAATAAAATAATGTTAATCATTTTACATAATTAAATTAGACACTTTTTATTGAATATTTCTAATTTTTACATTAAAAAATACACTTTTTATTTCTTCTCTTCTTCTTTTATTGCCTCTTTGTGATTTATTATTTTTATATTCTTTATTATACTTTCTTTTTATTCTTTTATATCTTTATATTCTTTTTATATTATTTGTTTTCATTGTTTTTCTATTTGTTTCTTCTATTATTTATCAAAACTATTTTCATTTATTCATTCTTTTTATTTCTTTTTTATTATTTCTTTAGTATTGTATATCTATTTATTATTTCATTTGTGTATTATCAAAATATATGTTTTATTGAATTTGTGTTGAACAAAATATTGAATAATTCAATATTTTCAATGTTAATTATTCATTCTTTATTCTGAAATGTTGTGTATATTTATTATATTAAATGAATATGATGAATGAATATCAATATTATTGTTTATTTGATTTTAAAAAATAATAAATGAATATGAAATAAAATAATGAAGACAATGAAATGATAATGAAATAGAATAATCTAATATTGAACAAATCAAATAAAGAATATATTGAATATATCATTATTGTTACTTTATTATTTGATATTTCAATTATTAAATATTAATAAATTATTATTCATGAATATTTAATTGATATTTATTTTATAATTTCATTTTCATTTTATTTAATAAATGAAATAACTCATCCTTTTCCAATGCAGGAAATACAACAAATTTTAATGCCATGGCTATTGTGTAAAACCTTAGGGTCTTGTAAAGAAAAGCAAACAAGACATAGAAATCTAAGGTCATACAACAAAAAAAGAAATGTCAATAGCAATAAATGGCATGACAATTATAATAATAAAGGTAAACGATACATCAAGGAAAAAAGGTTTAGAAGAAGAAAGACACAAAGAAAAACAAATAAAAAACAAGATAAGTACAATAATAATAAAGATTATACAAATAACAAATATAAATGGCTAACAATAAAAGAGATACAAGAAAGAATAAAAAAAAATAACAAATGAATGGAAAGAAGGAAAATACGAAGAAATACTTAAAAAATATGAAGGTAAGAGGAAAAGATGGTATAATATTCTTCAAGAAGTATATTCAATTAAAAAGAAAAAGATAATTGAAAAAACGAAAGAAGAGTTTAAAGAAAAAACAAAAGATTGGGAGGAAAAAGACATTAAGGCTATAGAAGCAGAAATTAAAAACAAAAACCCAATTAAAGAAATGAATGAAATATGTAAAATTGCAAGAATAATAAATAACAAAGAAAGTATAATGAAAATACAAGAAGAAACAAAAAATAAAGAAGAAAAGATAGAAGAAGAAAAAGATAAAGAAGAAATACTTGCACTGAAAAATCAAATTACTGAATTACAAGAAAAAGTTAAAGAATTCAGTATGAAAAGAATGGAAGAAGAACAAGCTATCTCAGAAGAAATGATGAGAAAAGCAAAAGAAATAGTTAGGAAAGAATTTGAAGAAGAAATTACAGAAATGAAAACACAAAATAGAAAGATTCAAACGAATTAT